ACATTCTCCTGTAAAAAAAAGATTTCTGATTTCGACATTTTCAAGATTAGTTTTATAAAGTTTGAATTTACTGTATATTCCGAATCGATGATTGACAGAGAACAACAACTAACCTACTCGTGTAAAACTTTAAACTGACGATTCTGTCTAAACGTCGCTCTGTCTTGATAAACCAGTCGTGTTGCGTTGCAGATAAAAGCAGAGCGTTTTCCCCACCCTATATTTATTCAAGTCCAGTGTGTTACTTAGATAAGGGGTTAGGATCGTCAAACACGAATACTTCTCGACATATACCAGAATTCTTAGTATTCAAGTTTAAGTACATGTCAAAGTTCGAGATAATGTGACCCAGGATACTATATAATAGTTAACTAACATTTCGTTACACACGTCATTCTAAAATGAAGTAGCTATCAATTACAAAAACAAATTCATTTATTTGCTCCCAAATCAAGCTAATGTTATATAAGTATTCAGAACAGACTTAGTTGTTGTGAAGTTGTGTTTTTTTTGTTCATCCTTTTATCCTGTATTTTAATTACTTTTGGTTTGGTTTGTTTGAATTTAAGTACAAAGCTACACAAGGGCTATCTGTGCTCTGCCCACCACGAGTATCGAAACCCGTTGTAAGTCCGCAGACATACCGCTGTACCACTGGGGGGCAATAATTACTTTTGGTTTGGTTTGTTTGAATTTAAGCACAAAGCTACACAATGGGCTATCTGTGCTCTGCCCACCACGAGTATCGAAACCCGGATTTTAGCGTTGTAAGTCCGCAGACATAACGCTTTACCACTGAGGGGCAATAATTACTTTTATGAAATGTTTAAATTTGATCAATATTTGTACCTAATAATCTACCCTATTCAATACAGCTTGCTGAAGACAGAATATACTATTCCGAAACGTTCAAGAATTCATTGTTTGTTACTGTACACGCACGTGTCAAATGTTCGTTATTTAACTTTGATTCCCGTCGAATGATTCTGTAAACTTACAAACATTTGTTTTCGTTAACAGGAAGCTACTTTCTTGCGTTAGTGACTCCGACAACAACATGGCTCCTTCTTCTAACCCTTGCAGGAGGTCTGACGTCACTTGTCTACGTTCTGATGACGTCAAATCTTGCCAAGCCGAATTTTGCCTGTCACTTAGTAGGTTGCTGACCGTTTCTACAATAGACTGTGTAAAAAAAAAAAAAAACAAAGTCAGTAAAGAAATACCTACAAACGCAACTTAGATGGGGAAAAATTGGTTAAACAACAACTTAAATCATTCAACGAGACATTGTGTGACGTACCATGTGGTCCGATGACACACGCGACATAGCTTGAAATGGTCATTAACTTACCTCTAAAAGTTCTTTTAACAACTGGCGACGATGCCACATGTCTTGAAATATTTCCATACTGTCCACCGCTCGAGACAGTGTCTGTTTTACAATGGTTACCACGTGGGAAACATCTTTACTGAACAACACCTTATTAAACGTCATGAGGGCAATCTCTGACGTAATACTCGTAATGGAGTCTCCACCTTGCATCTTTACCAAAACAAAAAGAAAAGAACATGAACAGGTCATGCTGAACACTACGAGAATGTTCTAAAATATTCGTTAAGTTTAGTGACACAATAAACGTCTAATATCAGAAATACAATAAATATATACAGTATCGTGACCAAGTATTGACTTTCGACTTCAAACAAATATTGACATTATAATGTGGCATTTAAATAGATTAGCTCAACGTCATCAACAAGTTATTCAGAAAACTGAACATGGAACTACTACATCAAGTCATAACCCAGTCCTTAGTGCTACTACATCAAGTCATAACCCAGTCCTTAATGTTACTACATCAATTCATAACCCAGTCCTTAGTGCTACTACATCAAGTCATAACCTTGTCCTTAATGCTACTACATCAAGTCATAACCCAGTACTTAGTGCTACTACATCAAGTCATAACCCAGTACTTAGTGCTACTACATCAAGTCATAACCCAGTCCTTAATGCTACTACATCAAGTCATAACCCAGTCCTTAATGCTACTACATCAAGTCATAACCCAGTCCTTAGTGCTACTACATCAAGTCATAACCCAGTACTTAGTGCTACTACATCAAGTCATAACCCAGTCCTTAATGTTACTACATCAATTCATAACCCAGTCCTTAGTGCTACTACATCAAGTCATAACCCAGTCCTTAGTGCTACTACATCAAGTCATAACCCAGTCCTTAATTCTACTACATCAAGTCATAACCAGTCCTTAATGCTACTACATCAAGTCATAACCCAGTACTTAGTGCTACTACATCAAGTCATAACCCAGTCCTTAGTGCTAATTCATGAAGTCATAACCCAGTCCTTAGTGCTACTACATCAAGTCATAACCCAGTCCTTAGTGCTACTACATCAAGTCATAACCCAGTCC